TGAGGTGAGTGCAGTGAGAGAGAAAGAGAAGAGTGGATGGTGAAGGATAAGAAACGGTGCGCACTGTAGAAAATGCTAAAGTGGCACAGGGATACAGAGGGAGAAGGGCCAATGGGAGGGGGCAAAGGCCCAAATCGAACTGTTGCGTGGGGCCCACTACCCAATCCTTTTCTTCAATTGCTACTTTTTATTTTGGGTCGTCAAATTGAAATGTGTGATAAAAATGGAAAGGGGCTGAATCACTTCCTCCAACGTGACGTGGCATGTCCAGACAGACATCCTCCTTTGGATTTCCACCTCCACATTTTTGGCATCATAATAATTGTGTCAAGTGTCTACTACCAAATGGTCTTCCACTAATCAAGATTCCACCCCCCACTAATAATTTACTTTCCTCCCATTTTTTATTATTAGGCCTTCTTTCCTTTTTCATACTCTCTATTTTCTAACCATAAATATGCCTACATTAACATTCACTAAAGACATCTACCTACTTCACTTCATTTCATTCATTCAGTAACTTTTGTAAGTTCTTATAAATTTTTCTCATTAAAAGTTGTGTAAACACATGCCAAACACACACTAAAAAGTATAAACAACTATGAATAATAAAGAAAAACAACTATATTTTACTATATCTTTCCTAATTAAAATTAATTTTATTTTGATAACTCAATATTTTCATCTTAAATCAAACCATGTTTGAAGTAACTCATCATATCCACTATGCTTTCAATGTAAACTAAACATGCCTTCAAATATTTTATATAATTTAGTTGTTTAAGACGAATCATTTTCAATTAAATTATTACATTTCACATAATAATATATTTTAGATTTGGGTCTTTTGAAGTAAAGGATTTGTTTTAGAGTTTAATGAACCAAGTTGTTTATTTTGATAAATTTATCTAGAGTCAAAAGTTGAAGAGGTAAATTTACATTAATTTCTTCTAAAAAAAATTACACAAATTTTATTTTACATTGTAAAAAAAATTGTGTGATATATTTTTTTATAAATAATATGTTAACCTTTATTTTAAGTCAATCATTATTAGCTAAGTTATTTTGATCAAATCAAGTCCAAGTTCAAAAAAAATGACAACATAAATGACTCCTTACACTTGAGAACTAATGTTAGGCTCAACAAGATTCTTTAGGAAGAAAAAAAAACTATACCAATTTTTAGAAATAAAATAATTATTTGGAGAAAATTCCACATCAAACTTTTAATTGACTTTTTCTACCCAAACATGTTGGTGTAACTGATTAAAAACAAGTGTTAAATACATAAACAAATTTATCGAAACAAATGAAAAATATTTTAAATTGATAAAAAAAAAATTATATAGTATATGTTTTTAAAGAAAGAAAAATATCAGTGATGGTTTTTAATATTTTTAAAATATATTTTTTTATTATTGATTGAAAATGATAAATTCTGATAATAATATCATTTAATTAATATAGACTTCTTAAATGAAATACAAGACCTACAAAAAATTTTATTCTTAATAAATTTCAACAAATATTAAAAGAAGCCTTGGAATAAAAAAGAAGGTATTTAAGAGATGTTGTTAACATTCTTCTTTTTTTTTTTTTAAAAAAAAAAAACTTCAATACCCAAGGATAGAATCAGGAAAAAAATGTTAGAGAACAAAAATTTAACATATGACAGAAGAGACATGAAAATGACACAAAAATGGAAAGGAGAAGTGTATCATTAAACTTAAAATACTAAAAAGAAGTTTAAAAAATTGAATTTCTATGTATTACATAAAGTTAGGAAGTACAAAATTTAGAATAGTATTAAGAGTTTTTTAAAAAAATAGACACATGACATTCTTAATCATTCAATTGGTGGGATTTCTCACAAGTCACAGACAAAATAATTTAATCTTTGACTACATTTTTTTTTGGAAGTATAGCATCCTAACAAAATTATAGTTTTCTGAACAGAAGGCGACTGTCCCTATTTTAACACAACTAATTGCGTTCTTGTCAATACCATAATAAGAAAGTTTAGTTACGATACATGAAAGAAATAATAGAAGAATGAGAAGAAAGAGAAATTGTTTTTTCTGATTTGGGCCATTTTTTTTTTCTTTTTAAGTTTGGGCCCGGGTTTCTTTCCCGGGTTGGGCACCCAACACATAAAATAGGGTTGCAGAAACCCTAATTCATAATAGCCTCTCTTCCGTGCAACCTGCGGCTACTCCGACAAGACCCCCTGCCACCGTCGCCTCCGCCTGCCACCATCGCCTCTGACGCGGCCGCCACCATCATGTACGACGTGACTTTCTTCTCCCCCTCCGCGTGCACCATTGTCGTGCCACCCTAACCTCCGC